ATAGCCAATTTGACTTGAATTCAGCTATTGAATTTATACCAAATATTATTAGTAAGCAGTTGTCAATTATTAGTATTCGGTGGTCGATTATAAGTTGATTTATTATAATTAATCGACTACTGAATGAAATGGCTGAATTGACCTAAAATCAGCTATCGAATTTATGCCAAATTTATTCTGAATTTTATAAGTATTTGTGGTCAATTATAAGTCAATTTATTGTAATTAATTGACTACTGAATGAAATGGCTGAATTTACCTAAATTCAGCCATCGAATTTATACCAAATTTATTCCGAATTTTATAAGTATTCAGTGGTCAATTATAAGTCGATTTATTGTAATTAATCGACTATCAAATGAAATGGCTGAATCGACCTGAATTCGGCCATCGAATTTATACCGATTTTATTCTGAATTTTATAAGTATTCGGTTGTTGATTATAAGTTGATTTATTGTAATTAATTGACTACCGAATGAAATAGCCAAATCAACCTGAATTCGGCCATCGAATTTATACCAAATTTATTCCGAATTTTATAATATTCAGTGGTCAATTATAAGTCGATTTATTGTAATTAATCGACTATCAAATGAAATGGCCGAATCGACCTGAATTCAGTCATCGAATTTATACCGATTTTATTCTGAATTTTATAAGTATTCAGTTGTCGATTATAAGTCAATTTATTGTAATTAATTGACTGCTGAATAAAATAGCCAAATCAACCTGAATTCGGCCATTGAATTTATACTGATTTTATTCCGAATTTTATAAGTATTCAGTCGTCAATTACAGATTGATTTTATTATGTCAATCGGTTGTTGATTGAAATTTTTGACCTGAATTCGATTGCCGATTTTTTATTAGCATTCGTCTGTCGATTTACTCTATCATTCAGTATAATATCAGCCAAATATTCAACGATCGAATTCAAGTCAATTCAGCCATTTCATTCGGTGATTGAATTTCTTATATTTGACTAGTGATTTGGTAGCACACAAATGTTTCATCATCAAAAAAGAAAAATTAATAGTAAAATAGTACGAAAGATGATAAGTTGAGCACATGTTAGGTTTAGGAAGCGATTAATTTTTAAAATAGATGAATTTGGCAAAATTGTAATAATATCTGTTTCAGAAATATATACAAATAAAACATGTAGCAGTTGTAGTTATATTAAAAAGAATCTAGGAGAAAATAAAGAATTTAGGATGATAAATGTGAACTTCAAATTAATAAAGATTTAAATGACATCTGAAGGATTTTCTTCAGGCTTTTGCATGATGGGACCATAGTTATGCAAGTATAGTTACGCTAATTAATTGATTATAGTTGAGTCTTTTAATAATAATTGATTAATTCAATCCATATGAGTCTATTGACCCTCCTAGATTAAAGTATATGTCAAAGAAACAATAGGTTGATTTCATCAAAAAATTAAAGAAAAAGAACCAACAGATAACATAGACTATTATAAGCTATCTGATGAAAGTTTAAAAGAATTAGAAGATGAGTTTTTAAAGATTTGTTTTAAAAATTTGCTGATTAATTTTGGTTTTATTCATGCAAATTATTCATATATTGAAAGTTTTCTTTAAAATAAAATTTTTAATTAATAATGCTTATCAATAAATAATAATGTTTTTTATTTTCTAAGGATTATATATTTATATTAAATAAAAAGCTAAACTAATGAATGATAAAAAATATAAAAATTTTTATTAGCGGTAGCGTAAATAGTAAAACATAAAATTCTAATTGCAATAACTCTTGAATCAGCAGACCTATACAAATTAGATATGTAAGTGTTACCAAATGCAACTCAGCAATTCTAAAAGATTAGTATGAATTCATTTTAATAAAATTGATAATGATCCAAAATTCTTTGAAAAAATTTAAACTTGTTCTTTTTACAAGTTATTTAATAGTATAGTTATATAATAGAATTCAATTATAATTTTTTGTTGTCAAAGATCATAAGGTCATAAAAATCATATAATTTATATAGGCCTTTTAAAATTATCAAAGATATAGAGGTGAGAACTATAAACTATTAATTATAAATACTCTAATGTTAACTAAATGTTGAACTAAATATTAACCTAAAAAACATATCAAAGAATGACGAAAAAGCTGGCAAAAAAATAACCAAAAAAGTGAGAAATTGCATTTTACATCACAGCTTGTTGTGTTTAATTTGCTTATTTTATGTTATAAGGCTTATTAATGATTCAAGATTTAATAATTCAAAATTCAATGATTCAAAATCTAAGTTAGCTAGCTTTCCAGAAGACTGTCCACCATTAATCAGTGTAAGAAAATTTTCTATATTTTCTATTAACAGCATTCCTATTAGACAGAATCAACTAATTTTTTAGTTGCCTTCTCACCATCTATCATTTTAGAAGGACTTTCTAATTTTTTGTTGTGTGTTTTTCATATGTTATTGCAGAAGGATTTTTAAATTTTTCTGTTGATTTTTCTGTATATATAGAAGGATTTTCTAAATTTTCTGTTGTTGACTGCTATTTATTAAAGCCATAGCTTGTTAATGGAAATTGATTTGATGAATCTAAGCCAAAAATACTATATTCTGATAGCATACTGAAAAGTTGCTCAAATCCTTGTTGATAATCAAATAATACTTCTTTGTTTTCTTCAGAATAAGTTTTTTGGTTATTATTTATTTCATTGATTCTTCAAAATAAGTTTTCTGGGCATTATTTATTTCACTTAACTTTTTACTTGATTCTTCAGAATAAGTTTTTTCAACATTATTTCTTTTACTTGATTCTTTATAATAATTCTTTTTGATATTACATATATTTCTTTCACTTAACTCTTTTGATATAAAGCAATCCAAAGGAAAATTAAATAATTTTTTCAACTTGTTGGTTAATGATTCTCTATTATTTTTAGTTGAACTGGATGATGAAATTTTCTTAGTATTTGAAACCTGATTCAATCTTTTCTTCTTAGGAGTACCTTTTGTCTTTTCATTAGATGATCTTTTCTTATATGTAAATTTACCTTTATTCTGTTTTTGGTAATCTAATTTGATTTTTTTAGCTTGTTCTTAATACACTTCTCTGAGTTTTGAACTTAATTTACTCCACAAATATCCAATAAAACTTGAAACTTGATGATTGTTTAAACAACTGTACTTAGTTTTAACCATAAGACATATTTGACTTTGAAATATCATAAAGCTATTTGGAGGTTTTTTTACTGTTTTTTCATTATAAGGTGTGTTTTCTGCTATATTTAAAATAAATGCTAGGATTTTTATATTTAATCCTGACAATTCCTTAATCATATCTTTGAATTCAAATTCTCACTGTTTTGGACTAAAATCAGTGAATAACCAGTTGGAATAAAATAGTAATTCCATTAACACCATTACTGCTTTTAATATCAGAATATAGATTTGATTCTTCAATTAAAGTAAAATTATCAAAATTCATAATTATTAATTTGATATAATTATTAATTCGATTTTTTTCTCTTTGAAATTTCATCGTCTAAATAAATAGATTTTAAAATAATATAAATGAATTAGAAACAATTAATTGAATTTTTATATTCAAATGACAATTCATTTTTCTTCATAACTTTTTTTATTTTACAGATTGCATTTTTTTTACGTGACAATACCACATTGCATTATTAAAATTTTTTGTTATATTCTTTCTTTAGTACTAAGCAGATCTATCACAAAATCCCGACATTCAAAATCCTGACAGCACAAATCCCGACAGAACTAATCCTGACGTACATAATCCCAACAAGATAAAATTCTGACATGTTAAATTCCGACAAGATAAAATTCTGACAAGATAAAACTCCGACAAGATAAAATGCCGATAAAGACAAAATTCTGTCAGTTCAAAATCCCGAATATGGCAATTAATAATTGAAATAAATTGAAAAATGATGCGAAACA